AGATTTACATAGCTTTTTATGAAACACCATCACACTAATTTAGTCCTCAACCCCTTTAACACTTATGATCCATTACAGTGACTGGGAGATGATTATTTCCGGATGTAGTTTCAGTTCTCTTCCTCTATTTCACAAGCTGTGTGCCAATGTTATGAAGCCCTTGCAAAAAAAGAAAGAAAGAAATGCCTTCCCAAATGATTTCGCATTCTTAAGAATCAGGCGAACTGACTATAAAGAATGATTTACTGTAGGTCTCTGCTTTGCAGCCGTGGAAACTTGGGAGAGGATCAAACATCCTCTCCAATTTGGCCACCACCTTCTTGGTTTGATAGTGTTTTTAAGTGAAATCTCTGACAGTTTTCATCAAAGCTATTAATTTGTACCTTGCAGAAATGTGATCCAAAATTGCCCGGGTTACAGACATAGGAGAAGGTTTTATAATGAAGAAATATGGGGGCATCTGGAAGTTTCTCTGAACATTGATGTAATCTCATCTGAAAAAAAATCAAAGGCTTTGACCCAAACTTTGAGATTCCTTATGTAGTTAATTGGTGTTAGTAGAGGAGGTCTGATAGATACAGAAGGGCTGACAAAACTTATAAAGTCTGGTTTTTTTTTTGTAACTAGCATGGTACCAAGACTTCGGCTTTCTCTTATTTGGCTCCTTCCCCTGAGAGACTGTGTTTACTACCTAGTTTTATTGCTCATTCTGACTAACCTTCAAATCTCAATGCATTTTTAGAAAAAAAAATAAACCAAAAGTAATTACTTGGGGAACACAGAGGCCATATCTACATATGAGATCAAACATTTCCCACCTTCCCTTGCCACTTACCTCTAGATAACTACTCTTCTTTCTAGTGCTTTCCACTTGTTTTTGTGGGGGAAAGAAAAAAAAAACAGCAGGGGATATCTTCAGGCTAATTATGCAGGACTGCTTTGTGATCCTGCAGGGAATAGGGGTAAGTAGTATTCTATTTCCAGTTTAGTTTCAGGGGAGACTGAACCCCAAGGGAGAGTCAGGGCTGTGCCGACTTCTCAAATCACAGATAATTTTGGTCTCAGAATTCCTTCCCTCTACTGAAGGGGGGGCCTTGAGTACTCAGAGGATGACTCCCAGTATCCTGTGGCTGGGTGGCTTCAAGGGGTCTTAGTGTCGTCATATAGCCAGCCCTCCTCTCCTCTGAATCCACACTCACTCAGCCTTCTATATCCACACTCGCCTAGCATGTGAGGACCTGGGTTTGATCCTCAACACCACCATAAAAATAAACAAATAAAAATTAAATTACTGTGTCCAACTACAACTAAAAGCTAAATATTAAAAAGAATGCCAATACTCCAGGATCAGTACTGTACAGTCATTATCTTGCTGTGTGGATTTCGTCTCTTAAGGAAACATGCTGCTGCTTCTTTGCCTGCTCCCCTGTGTCTATGCCTTGATTCTGCCCACAGCCTTTTGGCAGAATTCTACCTTTGCCCTCATGCGAGGGTTCCACCACAGGATAGGATGCCAATTTTATCAATATTTCTTAACACCTGTGGATGTCTTAAGGGTGTAGCCCGAGACCTCTTTTTGCTTCACCATGGGCATTCCCAGAATCCAGTACCTTTTATAGTAGGCATATATGTCCTTGCTCTAGTGATGACCCTTGTCCAGCCAGGGCACTGTTTCTCATGTCTGGCCAAATGGGCCTGGTCCCTCTTGGGCCCCCCTCATCTACTTAGTCTCAGAACTGGGCCTAGCAGGTTCTAACTTGCTGTACTGTCAAATTTGTGCCTGGACTGATCCCTGGCCAACACAGTAATTTACTACTCTGCAAATAAGGGCCTGAAGAAACATAAGGGTATGAGCTTCTAGATGACACCCTCACACATGTCTTCCCTTTCTTGTGTGTGGAAAGTATTAGGAGAGGAAATACTCCCCTCAAGACATATTTTACATCAGCAGTCATGTTTTCCTGGAAATTGATTTAACTTTTAACACTTTAGAAAAGAGCTGATGTAGAACATTTAATAGCCAGAGAGAAGAACTGTATTTCCCATCTTTCAATACCACCAAGGCTACAAAATGCCTTTCTCTACTAACGAGTGTGTGTTATTTTCCACATCATAATCTTACCATCATGCAATCATTCAATTACTCCTTCATTCATTCACAAGCATTTGGGTACTAGGCTCATTTGGAGGGCCTTAGGGTATACTATGATGAATAAGACTGTACCTTTGCCCTAAAGAGGTCTCAGGTTAGTTTAAGGCCAAACTGAATTCAAACATGATGACATGCCCTTAGGTGTGTCAAACAGGATGTCTTGGTAGAAAATGTTGTAAGGGTTGGGGACAGGCAGGGTTTCAATAATAAGACAGCCTCTAAGTTGACTTTTGTAGAATTGACTCTTGCAAGAATTCCTTAGGTGGAAACATGGATAAAATATACTCTAGGAAGAGGAATATTTCTGAAAGCATATTCCAAGAAGGAGTAGAGTGGATGGCATGGGGTTGAGCCACTATGGGCCAGTCAGAGAAAATAATTTGGTGCAGCACAACACAGGGTATAGGGCAACAAAGAGAAGCAGCAGGACAAATTGTGAGGTGGTAAGCAGAGACCATATCATGAAAAGTTTTGAAACTATTCAAGAGTTTATATTTTATCCCAAGGAAAAGAGAAACATTGAATGGTTTTTAGGAATACATCATGATTAGATTTCCATTTTGGGAAATTGCTCCAGCACTAGTAGAAATATTGGCTGGAAAGGTGTACTAATGAGACAGAAAGACAGCTAAGACACTACAGCAGCGATTCAGTCCTGGAATGACAGTACTTGAACTAGGACTGTCAAGGTGGGCTGGGAGGCAAGAAAGCATATTTAAAACATATTGAAAAGCAAGGATTTACAATAAGTGCCTGGCTTTAGTTTGGGTAATGTAGTATGGGGGACAGGTACTAAACTAGGCTGGGAAATAATTTTGGAGATGTTTTCTATTTATCTTGTCTAGAGGGACATCCAGATATAGATGTGTGGTAAGTGGCTGATATAGGAATTTGGAGCTCAATAGAGAAGTGTGAGCTTAAGACATAGATTTGGGAGTTATTTGAAACAGGAAGACTAACCCATGGAAATACATGAAGTCATTCAGGGAAGACACACAAAATGGAAAAGAATAGGGCCAAAAACAAAGCTCTGGACAACACTCTCATAATGAGAAGCAAGAAGAACTGTCAGTAGACAGAAAAGTCAAGATCAGATGCCAATGGCAATGGAGCATAAGAAGTCATAGAAATTTGGGATATATTTTAATAAGAAAAAATGCCATCAAGAACAAAAGTGTGCTGAAGACTGGTGGATCGTCTACTGGATTTGTTAATGAAAATTGCTCTGGAGGCTTTGCTTAAACAATATCAGCAGTGTGCAGAAGTTTGATTGTAGAAAGTCAAAAAGTGAATGGATAGTGGAAATGTAGGGATAATGAATTTTGATTATTAATGTTGCTTATTTAATTCTTGATTCTCTCTCCTAGATTTCAAGTTTAAAGGGACCAGGGGCAATGTTGATCTTGATCAACATCAGTATCTTATCCATTTAATAAATATTTGATGAATGAGAAGAAAGAGTGCATATTATGGTTTGGATATGAGATGTTTTCCAAAAGCTTCTGTATTAATGAAGGAATGTTCAAAGGTGAAATAATTGGATTGTGAGATTTGTAACCTAATCAATTCATCCTAGTTTGAATGGACTAATTGGTTGGTAACTATAGGCAGGTGGGGCATGGCTGGAGAGATAGAGGTCACTGGGGGTGTTCCCTGGGTGGGTTTATCTTTCCTGTGGCCTCTCCTCTTTCCCTCTCTCTGCTTCCTGGCTATCATAAATGGAGCAGTTATGATGTGCTGCCTCACATTAGACCCAGAGCAATGGACTTGGAAGACCATGAACTAAACCTCTGAACAAAATAAACTTTCCATCCTCTAAATTGTTCCTGCCAGGCATTTTAGTTACAGCAATGCAAACTGGACTAACACATGGCATACAGCATGAAAGACTTTTACTTCCATTTTGTGTATGAAACTAAAAACTAAAGAGTTCAAAAATATACATGGAGAAGGTGTCAGAGGAAGACTTTTGTGAATGTTATCACATATTTGATATTTCCCATTTTTTTTTCTAGAAATCACTAAAAAAAGCCCAAAGCACAGAAACCAAAAAACTCCACTTTGATGAAACTGAATTCTTATAGCAATGAATCTAGAGAAGGGGGAGAATTTGAGAATTGGGAGAAGGGATACGGAAACTATAGACCCCAAAGGGCAGTAAAAGAAAATGGGAGTACTTCCTGAGGTACCAAACTCAGAACTCTTATTGCAATGGGGTACATATATAGGAAGCAGTGGTGCTCCTGGATTACATTTGCTTTTAAGAATCCAAGAAAGTAGAGTCAAATGAGAAGTCACAAAGAAAATCGATATGTAGAGGAAATGAACTGTTTCCATGGCAATAGGAGAGAAAAATTTGCTATTGTGAGAAAGAGCCACTATGGCCTATTGTCACCACTCATAAAAAGCTGGGAAATAAGAAAATTCCAGATTAAGCCTTGGTACTTGTTGAGAGCCACAGCCAAAGGGGCCCCAGCAAACTTCCAGCTGCTGGCTGATGATTGGCTCACAGCAGCCCCAGCAACATCTAGCTGATTGGCTCCTCTGCGGTGATGTTCATTGGGCTGTTTCCCTGCCCTTCAGATTGTCAGCTGATGATTGGCTCACAGCGGCCCCAGCAACATCTAGCTGATTGGCTCCTCCACGGAGCTGCTCATTGGGCTGTTTCCCTGCCCTTTCAGACCACGGAGCTGCTCATTGGGGGACTTCTTTGGCTCTGCCCACGCAACCCAGCCAAACGGCCTCAAGAGCAGGAGGATTGTGGGAGGTGGGGAGGTTTGTGTGGGGGAGAGGCTTGTGGAAGCCGATGGTGGCAGTTGGGCTCTGAGGGTTTTTTTCCTGAGGAGCTGTTTTGTTTGGGGTTTGTAGTTCTAAAAATAAAGTTAGTTTTTTTTGACAAGTGGCTCCTGAATTGTGCCCAGATAGACTGCGGCATTTGGTGGCTCGCACGGGAGCGACTGAGGGTAAGTAAACTGCTCGCCCCTGAGGGCAGGGCGAGAGGATGGGTAGCCATTCTAAGTTTCCTCTTTTGTTTTGCTTCATTTTTGTTTTAACTTGCCTGTCCCTGGGAAGAAAAACCGCTCACATCTGAGGAAAAACTATTTGAGTCTGAGGAACAGATAGGGAGAAAGGATGGATGCACATGTCAGGAAGATAGAAAGGCTATAATGAATTTTTGTTGTTCCATTTTTATTGGATTCTGTCTCGGTTTGTTTTGGTGTCATCTTGTTGGGTTGTATTATAGTAGAAATACGGGATCAGCAATTAATAAAAAAAAAAAAACCAAAAGAGTGTTAAGTAAATTGTTAGAGCAAGGAGGCTTCCCAGTAAAATCAAGAGCAGTCAGGGCATACGTTGATATAATACAAAAATGTAGCCCATGGCTTTTTAAGGGGGAGTTGTTAGATATATCACAATGGAACCATCATGGTGAAGTTTGCTGGGGCCCCTTTGGCTGTGGCTCTCAACAGTACTGGTCCTTTCCAACATATACTTGTAAACAGTTGGTCTGGAAAAAGAACTTCTACAGTGAAAAATCAAGTTGTGAGAATCCATATAAATACATACCATAGGGAGGAGGAAAAAAGAACTGAAAGACACTAGGCAAAGAATATTTATGAGAAAAACATTGCCTTAGAGCAGATGACTATTATAACCAAGTACATTGCATTGATTAAAATAATAACCAATTGCTTATATGAAACAAGAACTTCAAACAGATATTCAAGAGCCCTAAGAGGAGATGTGCTACATAGGGGTAGATAAAACGTAAACTGGAAGAGCTCAAGAAAGGAAGATTTTTAAAAAGTCAAATCATCATAGAAATAAGGCAAAATTGGAAGGAACACAGACACTGCTAAAATATACTAAAGAACAGAGGATCAGCTAAAAAAGAAGCAAGATGAAAAAAAAGGTTGAATGAAAGAAAATAATAGATGGAGAAAATAGGTGAAAAGGATTCAACAGACATATAACTATTTAATAGATATTCAAACTCCCTCATAGTAAAAGAAATGCACATTAATATACACCGAGACATAGACTTATTTTTAACAATATTAGTAAAACGTGATAGATTCTGCTCATGTTGCTTAGTAGTTTGAACAGAAGGAACATCCTTCTCTAAGGGACAGTAAATAAAGACGTGGTTGGTTCAGATACAAGCGTTTTATCAACTTCCTGCTTTTATAAACCTATTTTTTCTGTAGAGAGGAGTCAAGCACATCTGATAGGGAAAAGGGACAGAGAAAGGAGACGATCCCATAAGAGTGCTGGAGATTTGGAAAACCATCCACATGGAAAAGAAAAAGTCATTATCTGGAAAATGTAAAAGAATCCTGTGCGAGGTAACCGAGTTGCTGATCTGCACTGTTCAACTACCTGTTTGGGGGTATCAGGAAGACGAAGGTTGGGGTTTCCAGGGCAGAACAGGTGGAAATACAGAGGGGCAAGAGAGCTGGCTACAACAGTGGTTGAAGTAAAAATGGAGTCAAAGGAGGTTGGTAATTTATTGGATTCATTTAGTCTATTGAATTTCAGAAGTTGAACATCCCAAGCTGTGGACCTTCAGGATACAGAAAGCTCCCTTATAACCCACTCCTCTTCCTTTTCTCAAAGGCACGATAATCTGCTTGGTCAGATTTCAGGATGTCAATTTAGGCTGTAGTTACTCACAGTGAAACCAATTTGAGAAAAGATTTCAGTTCATGATTGTATACTTGTCCCTTTTCTTTCACCCAATTGACCAACATGATTAGCTGGCCAGGTTTATCAGAAAGATCTCTGCCCGTATTTTCTTCCTCTGTTTCCCCCTTGTCTTTGTTGCTTCCAGAGGCAAGGATTGCGAGTTCACACCCCGTCTCATCTTTTCCTTCCCTATAGCTAGCTGCCTTGGGTGTGGGGAGATGCGAGGTGCATGTTGGAGTTCCTACACTGCTTTAGTTTGAGATTTATGGGATTCCAGGAAAAGGGTGCTCCCTGCTCTCCAGCCCAAATCACTGTTTTCTTCACAGACCTAGAGAACCCTTTGGGAAAAAGTGGCTAAGCCCAGAGATTTTTTGGCAAATATCTTTGTTATAGCATGGAGAATTCTCTCCAATCTCTATCAACAAGAAGAAAGAATCCGCAGCACAAGACTATGGTGAAGAGGAACTAAAGGCTTTGTAAAGGGTGAGAAAAGATAAAACTCTGTATCTTGTGTTAGGCTTAGAAATGTCAGAAGCACTTTGAGTTGAAGTTCATAGTAAAATGCTTCAGCAGGGAGTTAACAGTTTTTTTTTTTTTAAAGCCATATCAAAAACTAGAAGATATGTTGGCACTTTTATACTTTTGAAAAGCAAAAGGGCTTTAAGGTTTAGGATAGAAATGAATAGCAATAACAATTTAATAAACCAATAAATTCATTAATGCCTTATATGAGCCATACAAAGCAATTCCTGAGCTTTTATTATTTATATCAATAGATAGAAATCTTGACACAGATGTTCATATAACCATAACGGTTTATATTTCAGATAGGTAAAGATAAATTCTGTAGTAAAATAATTTGTTACAGGGAATTCAAATCTCTTCACAGAGAGATGAAACAGAAAATCTTCCACATGTGGTAAAGCACAGTATTCAACTAATCTTACCTGGGACCTTGACTTTAGTCTTTGTTGAGATTTTAAACATCATAAATGTGGCTTCCTTATAAACATAGATGTTGGATTTACAACATTGCATGAATAAGCAAAATAATTTTACATTTCTCAAAAAGGGGTTTGCAATTTCCATGGGAACAGGGATGGAGTTATCTTAAATTCTCTAGAATGGAATGGGATTGAGAGGATACCAGAAGCTCAGTGAATGGGTCCTAAAAGACTCCATAGATGGTAAATGGGATGAAACTTGAATACAAGGAACAGAAAGGGAGGTCAAAGAAGTTAGACCATTTCTGTAGAGTATCTGTCTCTTAATAATTAGTCTGTAAATGTCTGTCTGTTGTAATGTTGTAGAACATTATCTTAAAAAAAAGTAAACAACTTCAGTGAAGGTAGAGGAAGAGAAAGATATCATTAACTACAAATGGCTTAGCATTCTCATAATCCAATTCTGGGACCTACAGAATTGGAAGTTGGCAACCTGCTCAAAGTAACACTGTCTATGATTGTCTGTCTTTCTCTGTTATGGTTTGGATCTCAAAATGTGCCCTGAAAAGCTCATGTTTTGAGAGCATGATCCCCAAGACAACAAAGTTCAGAGGTGGAGCTTTTAGGCAATGATGAGAGTGGATTAATCCATTTGATGGATTAGTAATTTTAATGGACAATTGAGCAGTAACTATAGGTAGGTGGAACAAGGCTGGAGGAAGTAGGTCACTGGGGGTATGTGGCCTTGGACAATATCTGTCCCTGGCCGCTTTCTCTCTCTCTGCTTCCCAACTGCCAAGAGCTGAGCACATTTCCTTTACTACACTCTTCCTCCATGATGTCATGCTTCACCTTGGCCCAGAGCAACAGAGTTGTCCAACCATGGACTGACTGTACCTTTGAAACCATGAACCAAAGTAAAACTTTCCTTCTCTAAGTTGTTCTTATCAGATATTTAAATCATAGTTATAAGTTGACACACTCTCTCCACCTATCATTTTTGTACTAGCTTTATTGAGATATAATTTATACCATAAAATTCACCCATCTAAAGTGGGCAAGACAATCATTTTTAGTATTGCAGTTATTCAACCATTACAAATGTTCTGGAACATTGTTATTTGCCCCAAAAAAGACATCTACACCCTCAGCAGACACCCCTATTTTCCTACACACACCTCTTCCCCAACTCTAGGCAACTATTTGTTTATTTTATGTGTATAGATTTGCATATCCTGGCCTCTTTATATAAATAGGATCATACAATATATGACTTTGTGACTAGCTTCTTTCACTTGGCATGATATTTCTTAGGTTTGCTGTATTGTAGTATATTATTAATCAAAAAGCAATGACATACTGATGTAGTCTGTTTATATACTATACGTTTTATTTATCTATTCGACTTGATGGACATTTGGCTTGATTATACTTTTTGGCTACAATGAGTTATTCTGCTTTGAATATCTTGTACAATTTTTGTGTGAACATAGGTATACAATAAAAAGAAATGAAAACCTAGGAGTGGAATTACTGGTTCATGTGTCAATTCTAAGTTTAATCTTTTGAGACACCATCAGATTGGTTTTCAAAGTGGTTGCACCATTTTATATTCCAGCAGTGTATATGGGTTCTAATATCTCATATCCTTACTAATATGTTATTTTCCATGTTTTTGCTTTAGCCATCCTACTGGTGTAAAGTGGTATCATATTGTGGTTTTAATTTGTATTCCCTGATGGCCAGTGATATTGAACATGTTTTTGTGTGCTTACTGGTCATTTGTATATATTTAGAGAAATGTCTATTCAGAGCTTTGTCC